CCCCAAAACCCCAAAACCCCAAAACCCCAAAACCCCGGGATGGAGTAATAATATTGAACTTATAATTAAAAGTATTATGAACCTGCCTGTTGTAGCACTTCTTACTGAAATCAATGATTTAAGTAAAATAGATATCAATACAAAGTAATGAGCTCTTCTTCAGCCTCTGATTCCTATAGCTACCTATATCCTGGAAATATCTTTGCATCATTAGCAGATATTAACTCAGAACAAGTAAGTCTATGTCTTTCTCTTATAAATTCTTGGATAAAACCATTTCTCCACTCAGAATATTCATAACATTTAATACAAAAATTGTTGTTAAGTTTTTATTATGCTAGCTAAAATTGATCAACTTAAAAATTTGCTTAAAATAGAGTTTATGATTCTCTATTGCACTTTGAAGCAGAATTCAGCATCTTTGAAAGCATATAAAAAATTTCCGTTTCAAGTTTCAAATACTTAAACATTTATAGCTGAACAGTTTAATAGATCCTATTGAACCTGAGTTAGAAATTAGAGAAGAAAGTCTTGGGCTTGAAGAATTACAAGGAAAGCTGGCTTCTCCTAGACCTTCCAGTTGTACTGATAGTGAAGCTCCTGTGGAGTTTGAAAAAGTTTTTGAAGTGACTAAGGTTGCCAATAGGACAAAGAGACTTAACTTATTTAAGCCATGTTTTGATGCAAATGAAGTAAAGGATAATAATACATCCGCGTCTTTGAAGTCATCAGGCTACAGGAAGGATGTGGCTTATAAGACGGCTATCAGGATATTAAAAAGATTTTTCAAGAATACTTACAAGAGTCAAAACAGGGATATCAATGAAAGGGATCATAAAATGCTTTCTATTGAAGATATTTGTACAAGAATGCAGAGTCTCCTAGCCTCTTTTATTCCCCAAGAGCTCCTCACCCAAGATTTAGTTTATTATACAATTGGAATCACTGGCATTAAAAGCATACCTAATATCCCATCAATGCTAGCAATTCAGAAAGAAGTCACTGATTTTAAAAGCTGAGCTCAAGCCTTCTCAATGAAAAAATTTGAGAAAACACTCAGCTCTGAGAGCTTTATTACTTTGTGCTGTTACATTTCTCAGAAGTCAAACGATCCAAGGACCAGTGTTCTCAGAGATGGAATTCTGAGAACTATAAGTTAGATGAATTTAGGCTGAATACTCCGATCAAAAATCTAAACTCTAATTTGTTGCTAAAATATTCATCAAAAGTTGCCCTTTAGAACTTATTTCAGCCCTAAACATGGTAGATAGCAGTGGTACAATTTAACGAGCATGATAGAGGTCTAAACCTGATAACCTACCATATCTTCTGAGTTTTAGAAATTCCGGGAAGAATTTCTGATATTTAGCATATTTTGAATATTATAGAATCCCACCGCGATCAAATTACCAATTTTTATTAACTTTCCATCGGGTAACCAAAACAAAACTCCGAAAATACCGGCTATGAAAGGGATATTTAGCGTTATTGGCAAGCCTGCCATCTTTGATCCTGGGATTGCGAGTGTTTACGATAGCTTTGCAGGTTATAGAACCTTAAAGCTTCAAAGAGGCCTGTAAACCATTAATAGATGAATAAAGGAAAATCTATGATTTTAGAAATATATTAGTAAGCGGTAAATCTGAGAGCTGTTAAAAATAGGGTTCATTTGTTGCTTTTTAAGTCACATTGATATAGATTCAGGCCTTTTAACAGTGAGGAATAATTTTTAAGTAGCTCAGATTTCTTGAAAAATATAGAATGATTCTAAAATTTTCTAAACATTCTCAATTGTTCTACTAATATCAAAAATTAATAAAACTAGACCTCTGACATTAATTGGATAGCCTTAAGGGATGAAATCTTGAACTCGTAGAGCAATCAGCTTTGATAGAAATCTCTCAAACTTTCAGAATGTCCGCATTTCAAAAATTAGGGAGCTTCTCTTGGTCTCTGAGGCAGTCAGAAAATTCAAATTCGGTTTTATTTGAAGCAAAGTAAATTATATGATATCAGAGCTCAAAACTGAGAAAAATATAAAGGGTTGGTTATTGTTTTAGCTTATGAAGTCAGACAGTGGCTATGAATTTGCTATTAGTTGGCTGCATAGTCATCTCTGACCTTTCGTCGAGCTCATCAGGGCTAGATGTATTCCATAATTATGTCATTTTAATATAACTTAGAACCTAAATAAAATATCAAGCGAAAGCTTATTCAAGAAGAGAAGCTTGTGAATTAAAGAAGAAAGGATTAGAGCTTTATAAGCAACTTTTCGTCGGAAATAATAGATTTATCTAATTATGGTCTTAACAGACATCTTCAAACTCTTAATTTAAGCTCTATAACTCAAACTATCCCTTTACCTTACTACAAACCTACTTATTAGTCCGCTTCCTTCTTTATTCTCCCGTAGAAATATCCCAATTCCTCCTATTTCAACCTCTAAACTCTAATTCCTTCCAATTTCCAATTCTTCCCCCAAAATCTCTCCAACAGATCTACACATTACACTATCCATTATTTCCCATATTTCAACCACTAGCCTCCAAACCGGGGTTTTGGGGTTTTGGGGTTTTGGGG